TAGCGTGGGAGGTTTCACGTATTGATTTCTAAATTATTATAATATACAGGATTCTTGTGATTTTACTAGTTCAGCATGCCAAAATTTAAAAGCTGTTCAGAAAGTTTATTGTATTAGAACTTGACTGTAGTTCCTGTACAATGGTTATATAGGTAAATATATTTTAGAAATAAGGAAATCACTCCATGATAAGTATTTTATAACCAAAATTTTTAAACCCATTAGGAATTCTTGATCCGCCCAAGTCCTTTCGAATTTGGGTGTTATTCAAGCATGATTTGCTTAGCCATGGAAACTCGATTTCCAATAATAGCTTGTGAGATTATAGAATGTTAAAGAATCATTTATGTCACATTGATATTCATAAGTATTTGCTAATAGCTATAGCTTATGTGTTGATTCAAACACTTGGGTAAGTATATACGTAATAGCATTTACGTCCAAACAAATGTCTTCAATATTCATGAAAATGTGTTTAGTACACATTTTTAATGGACACTTGAGTTAGACATCCCTTATACCCCCTATATACCATCCCATTATATATATTGCTGTTTCATCTAATCTCCGATCTTATAATAATTTGTATGTTCTGTTGATTTTGTGTCCGGCAATTGTATAATAACTCGAAACTAAAACAATAAAGTTCAGCATTCTCAGGTCGTTTTATTGTGTGTTCGATGTATTTGTCAGCAATTTTTCATCCAGTACTCTGGACTTGAGTCATAGTGATATACAAAGTATTTATAACCAATGCTGCGTCTTGCCAGTCAGCCTAATTGATGAATTATGTATTAATGAACCTGCACAAGAAATTCGCATGGTTGCGCTGAAGCCGGCACCTTCTTGAGTGGAAAAACATTTAGAGGGTAGAGGCTAAATGTTATAGGTATATATCAAGAGTGAATGAAATACTTTAGTGTTCATCTCCAGTGCCTTATAATGACTGTCCAGGTCAAACGTCTTCAAGGAAAGCCGGCCGTAGCGTCCTAATAATTACATAAATTAACAGATTTAAAGCCTTGGGGGAGGGAATTTTTTACTATGAGCAATGAATGTTATACAAAACAATTACATTCACAAATATAGCATAGAGCGCTTGTGCAGTAGGCTGTTTTATTCATGCCAATGAATTGTGTTTTCACACAGTGTTTCAAAATTATCGTAACAAGTAGTTTTCTCCAGTTTCGTTCTCTGCCAAACAAATGGCCTTAGTATAAAAACCTAGGAGGCTCCGAGGAGGTATAGTTGATGCCGAACTAGCTTAACATCACACCGCAGGTTTTGCTGGGTGTATCCACCCTCACCCAGCCAAATGGCATACGAAATGCTACGGTTATTTTGAATCCTCACGCATTTGGTGGAAAATAATTATACGGTTGGCGCTAATTTAATAAAAATAACCCAGATGGAGCTATTCGGTATTAATATTTCAGGCGCTATACTATAATATATATGATATATATATAATATATATATGTATATATTATATATAATATATATATATATAAAGAAACGAAAAAGGCTAGTACAAATATATATACTCGCCCTATATTCCGTTTCTTCCCTTGCTATTTCCTATACTCCCCTCTCGCGGATAGTATCGCCAGCACAAGTCAGTCGCCAGTGAAGTTTGCCAGCCAAATGCTGGGTTATCCGCTCCGCACCAACCTCTCCTCTCCACTCCTCCCCCCCCGCACCGCGCACCCATCCACTCTCAAACCACTCCCACCCCGCCTATACCTACCCCGCTCCCGCCGCCGGTCCCGCGCTGCTCAAACACCCTCACCCCGCGCTCGCCCGCGCCCGGCCGTCCGCGCTCCGCCCCCCCTCGCCGTACCTCCGCTGCCCTCCGTCTTGCGCCGCCACCCCTTGCCTCACCAACCACGTCCCGCTCCCTACCCTCTCTCCCCGCACCCGCTCCCACCCCTCCTACCACCCTCCTCCCTCCTGCTCCTCCCGGACCCCCGCCGTCCCGCACCCCCAACCGTCTCGCACCCGCGCTCGACACACACCCCACCCCGCCTCTCGGCCTCCACACCTCCTCTTCCACCACCCGCTACTCGCCACTCCCCCGCTCGCCGCCCCCCCCCTACCCACTCCCCCCCCGCCCAGCACGCGCCCGCCGGCCGCCACCACACACTCGCCACCCCGCACGCGCCCGCACCCAGCCCCTCCCCACGTGAGAGCGAGGAGAGAGAAAGGAGGAGGGATTGTGCAGCGGAGATGTGCACACGCAGCGCAGACAACGCACGTACGGCCCAACAACACGGTTGCACAAATCCTTCTAATATATTACTTCTTCTTCCTTTCGCTCACCCTTCCCCTTCGGACTCTCCCCCTTCTCTTGCTGCCTCTCGCGCTGTGTCCCTTTCTTCGCATTTTCATTCCATGCCACGCACGCACACCAGGACCACTTAACCAAACACATCATACGACAACGTTCTCTCTTGTCATGTCCTCTCTTTCTTGGGCGTATATATATATATTATTATTATATATATTATATAATTATATATTATATTGTATTACTGCTCCTAGTCTCTCCCTTGCTCATCCTTACTCCCCTCTCGCGAATAGTGGCGCACGCATGTCGCCCGTGAAAAGTTTGCCAGCGAAATGGCCGGATTCAACGAAACGTTTTTTCATCCCCCGAGGCGCAAATTTAATTACGCCTATATAACACGCGCATGTGATGCAACCATACGCGTGTTGCGCGCCGTGCCGTAGTGTGATGGTAGAATAATTGTGTGCGTAAACCGTTATTAGGACGTATTTCCAATTTTGTGCTGGGGTTTGAAAATTGAGATTGAAAATAGCATTTGTCTGGCTAACTTTTCACAGTGCAGGCTGATATGCCGTGGCATACTTTCCAGGGGGGGGATACTGAGGGGAAGCGGAGGAGAAGACGAGGTGAGGAACAGAAGAGAGAAAGGAGGGACGGGGAGAAGAGCGAGGAATCCAGACAAAAATGTGTACACGGCATGCGGCCACACATGCGGCAGACAACGCAGTACGCACACAGCACACATACACAACGATGCACTCAAATCTCTTCATTATAATTTACTTCTCTCGCCGTTCTCGTCACTCTCCTTTTTCTCCGTAACTCTTACCCTCCTCCGCTCCTCCTCTATCCTTCTCTCACACACACACACACACACACACACACACACACGACGCGCGCGCACGCACGCAACGCACTCTCTCTCTCGCGCATTTTTTACTCTTTCTTGTTTTCTTCGGGCGCCTATCATTATTTATATCAGGAGGGTCATCATAGACTTCTTTTTGCATAGACTCCTGATTATATAATATATATATATATATATATAATATATATATATATATATAGATAGATAGATAGATATCGCCTACGGTATCAAAACCACTGTGAATTTTATCCAAGCAAATGTTCGTATTTCAGCTAAAACATTCCCCCTCCAAGGCACATGTGAATTTATGCCTGTAATACATATAAAACATTTCAGCAAAGAATTTACGGGGATTCGAACCCAGGAATTATAGATGGAAGTCTAGAGATCTAATCACTATACTACGCAGATGTTCCTGTAGAAAGCCGTCGTTTTGCATTGATACATGCATTCCTCGACCTCCACACACAATTCCTCTCCTTATCTATTTCCCTCTCTCCCTCTCTCTCTCTCTCTCTCTCTCTCTCGCCTTCTCTTTCCTTATTCCTGACTTTGTTTATCTCCCAAAGAAGCGCAGAATGGTTTACTATACCCGATACAAACGCACTAATAACTGCAATATAACCAATGAACCAAAAGAGCTTTATTTTATTACCGATTTTTGCCTTTCTTTGTAAGTGTTCATCACTCAGATACAAAATTGTATACAGCGACGAGAAGAAAGACGGGGATTGTAAAATGAGACAATAATGAAGAGTTAGGTACCTTCTATCCACCGTCTATCGACTACACACACAAACACGCACCTGCCAAAAATAAAGCTTGCTTAACCAACATGCCCTTACAGAGTATGTACAATAATGAATACCTATGGTATCAAGTCATTTCTACATATAATTCTTAGCTTCATGAATGTTCGAATGTTAGTTTATGAATTTCTAACACATTTTCATTGTTGATGTCAGAAGGCAGAACTCCAAGACGCAATACAACGAAAATCAAACCTCTTCGATGAAATGCTGTCTTATTAATGCCGCATTTAAATACAAGAAACTGTCCTTCCATAACAATGTAACATGTATACACGGTTAACACAATGAATATAAAAAATAATTCATCAATGCTGGTATCATTTTGTATTTATCGTTCATCATTTATTACCATCCATTGTATCCAACCATTATATCATTATCCATTATTATTTTTGTCGCAAACTTTGGTCCCAAACAAGGCCATTATTTTGTGAGACAGGATTCACGAAGATTTCACAAACTTCCTAGAACGGGGGTTATACCGACCAAGTCCAGAAAAAAATCCCAATCTCGCTAACTCACGTGTACTCGTTATCCCTTGAGATAAAAATATTCTATATATTCTATATATTCTAAAATATTGTATATATATAGCCGGGTACTGTTACTGTAGAAAATTACACTAGCAGAATTCAAAGAATGCAATTTAAACACGGACCAACAAAACATTTCTAAATACATCAAGGAGAATATGTAAAATTCACAGTCCTTTTGATCAACTTTGTCTCTTTCCATTCTTGATATAATCCCTTAGACTTATTTACGATGTTACTGACTATAGCATTCCAATCTAATAGGAACTGCGTTCTGTCTTAACGTGGTAACGCGTGGGCGTGTGTACAGCAATGAGGCTATACCACACGAGGTCACGTAGAGGTCACTTAGAGTGGACTCTCATGAAGCTGCCGCTGACAGGGTCTATGTCCCCCAGGGTACTGCCGGAACGTACCCTGGTACTATCTAATATGTCGGACCGTACCTCGCCTACTCCACTAACGAGTCTAGGGAGTCGCCTACGCCTACTCCCTAACCCTAACCCTAACCATATCAGATAGTTACCAGGGTACGTTCCTGCAGTACCCTGGGGGACATAGACCCTATGAGCGAAGCTGCCAGACAAAAGTGCCGTCACTGAAGGTTTGCGATCGTTCAACTACCCTTCCGCAGTTAAAGGCACCAGTTACAAAAACTGCAAACGGTACAATCATAGACAACTGCAGCCTCTTGCTACGAGACTCGAAGAGGATAGGTGAAGTGAGTATAGCATTATAACTAAGCAGATAATTTGGCACGTTTATATTTCGTCGTCATTCCACGGAATTTAACATTGCACTGATTTTTGGCACATACCACGTATAAAACTGCACAGAAAATGTAAGCTGCATGAAACATAACAGTAAAGTTTATGCAGACATCAACTTTGTTTAGAATTATTTCTGATATTAACCAGCCAGCACGTCTTGTATACGCCATGATAAATGGGTATTGAAATTCCTTCCTACATTAAAGAAGACCTCCAATGATTCTATGATAAAATTGTACAAATCACTGCATACAGCAAATGTATCATTTTATTTTTTCCCTTACAATACCCGATTCGTTTCTAGAAAGATTCTTATAGGAATACAAACGCTAGCAAAGAATGGACACACAACATACAAGAGTGAAAGACTGCAGGGTCATGAAGCAGAACTAACGACGATACATACGACTTAGTTAGTGCACCACTGTATACCCTCATGCTAATCATACATGAGAGTTTTGTCAGCAAATTTTACTCCGAAAACGCGGGAAATGTGGCCAGAAATGTGGCCAGCAGCATTCACCTTTCTAGAGGTACATACGTGTGTATACCAAACGGCCACTCAACAACTGCCCAGCATAACATGTCATACAATTACCGGCCTATTGGCTGCTGTATGAGTGAACACAAGTGAATAAGAGAACACTCCAGTAACATTTCATAATCGCAGTCATATTTGGTGGCATCACTCATGGACCTACTATGCCTGACTGGTGGTTTCACACCAAAATTTCACCCAATCATTTTACGTAAACGACTCCTAGCGGTTACTCGCGCGCCTCGCGAATAGCAAATCTTTCGCGATCATCTGCGGTTTCCATGGCAACAAGCTGCGCGTGCAGGCTACGGTGAACGCTGCGGGAGTCAGAGTTGTGGGTATCGGTTCACGGGTGTGCAGCGAATGGGCGGCGGCCAGCAAGCCGGCTTTCACGCAGTCGTCCAAGCTTCTGTTCTCCAACATGCCAGCGATGATAGTTGCCACCATGCTACAACATACAATTGCATAGATACCATTAACATACTTATACAAAATATAATAAACAATCACATAGATAGCATCAACATACTTATACAAAATATAATAAACAATCGCGTAGATACCATTAACATACTTATACAAAATATAATAAACAATCGCGTAGATACCATTATAATACTTATACAAAATATAATAAACAATTGCATAGATACCATTAACATACTTATACAAAATATAATAAACAATCGCATAAATGACCATTAACATACTTATCAAATATAATAAACAATCGCATAAATACCATTAACATATTTATACAAAATATAATAAGAATAGATATGTTCAAACAATAAAATATATAATCATAATAAAATAATATAAAGGTATTATTAGCTCTTGATAAAACTATAATAACGAACAAATGCAATCTTAATAGGAACAATATGCCGTTTACATCGTTTACCCTATGAGACAACCGACTGTTTTCAAACAAAGATTACGCATTAACCAATGTCGGAAGAAAAAAAAGGTCAAACATGTTAGAATGAAGAGCATTGCTTTGGCAGATAAGCTCAACCAAAACATTGCTCCGGCGACCACCACTTCCTGATACTAGGTGCTTATCATATACTACATGTCCAAACAATCCTGATACTAGGGTGCTATCATATACTATTTATCTACCACTCCTGATACTGGTGCTAGCATTATATGATCTAATCTACCACTACCTAATAGCGTGCTATCATATACTATCTATCTACCACTCCTGATAGCTAGGTGCTTCTAATATACCTGTCTACCACTCCCTGATACTAGTGTCTATCAGTATACTACCTGTCTACCACTCCTGATACTAGTGCTATCATATATTACCTGTCATACCACTGCTGATACTGGGTGCAATCATATACTTACCTGATCTACCACTCCTGATCACTGTGTTCTACTCATATTACTACAATCCACCACTGCCTGATATACGTGCTTAATCATATACTACCTATCCACCACATCCTGATACTAGTGCTATAATATACTATCTATCTAACGCACTCCTGATCACTAGTTGCTAGTCATATACTATCTATCTTACCACTCTGTCTGTGTGCTATACTACCAATGGGCACCTCTGATCTACGTGTATCAACTATACCAATGTCATACCACTTCCTGATCTAACGATGCCTATCATATACTAGCCTGTCTACCACTCGATGCTACTGGGTGCTTCATATACTTAACCTATCCAGCCACTCCTGATACTAGGTGCTATGCAATATACTACCGTGTCCACACTCCTGATACTAGGTGCTATCATATACTACCTGTTCCACCACTCTCTGGATACTAGGTGCTATCTATACTACTGTCCACCACTCTGGATCATGAGCTGTGAATCATATACTAACTGTCCCACACTGCCTGACTACTACGTGCAATCATATACTAACCTCCACCCTGAATATAGCCACTCACTACGCTTAATACTAATATAGGTGCAATGCATATACTATCTATCTACACTCCTGATACTGGGTGCTATCTAATATTTACCTGTCGCACACACTCCTTGATACTGCGGTGCTATCATAATACTACATGTCCACACACTCCTGAATACTGGGTGCTTATCACTATTATTACGCTGTCCACCACTCCTGATACTACATGCGGCTTATTTTCTATACTAGGACCTGTCCCACCACTCCTGATACTGGGTGCTATCATATATTACCTTGTCACACCACTCCTGATACTGGGTGCTATCCATATATTACCTATCCAACCACTCCTGATACTACGTGCGTTATCAAAATACTACCTATCCACCACTCCTGATACTAGCGTGCTATCATAATATTACCTTCTACCACTCTGCATACTAGGTGCTATCATATATTACCTGTCAGACCACGCCCTGATACATAGGGCTATCATATATTACCTGTCCACCACTCCTGATATGAGACTGAGTGCTATCATATATTACCTGTTTACCTACTCCTGATTACTACGTTGCTACATATAGCTATTATCTACCACTCCTGATACTGGGTGCTATCATATACTAGCCTATCTACACTCCTGATACTGGGTGCAATCATTCTATATCCCACTACCATCTAGTGCTCACATACTACACTGATACCTATCTACGGTGCTATCAATATATACCTATCTTACCACTCCTGATACCTGGTGTATATATACTACCCTATCTACCACTCCATGATACTGGTGCTAATCATATACTAGCTTTCTACCACTCCTGATACTAGTGCTATCATATACTATCTGTCTTACCAGCTCCTGATACTAGCGTGGCTATCAATATACTATCTACTTCTACCACTCCTGATACTGGGTGCTATATATACTACCTAGTACCACCACTCCCCTGATACTGTCTATCATATAATACTACCATGCCGCACCCTCCTGATACTGGGCTATCATATATTACCTGTCACACCACTCCTGGATACTGGGTGCTATATATACATTACCTGTCCTACCATCCTGTACTGGTGCTATCATAACTTACCTATCTTTTTTACACCTGATCACTGGTGCTATCACTAATTAATCTCGACTATGCTATCATGATATTACCATGTTCCCACACTCCTGATACTAGGTGCCGATATCCGATATACTACCTTCCACCACTCCTGATACTACGTGCTATCAATATACTAGCCTTGCTCTAGCCATCCTTAACACTTTTGCTGCAATTCATATACTATTCTATCTCCACTCCTGATCTACGTGCTATCATATACTACCTATCCGACCACTCCTGATACTACAGTGCTATCATATACGTACCTATCTACCACTCCTGATACTGGGTGCTATAATATACTACCTGTCCTAACCACTCCTGGATACTAGTCGCAATCATATACTCATCTAATCTACGCCACTTCCTGATACTGGGTGCTATCATAATACTACCTGTCTACCACTCCTGATACTAGTGCTAATCTTATACTATCTATCTACGCCACTCCTGATACTGGGTGCTATTTCAGTATACTGAGCCTATCGCACATCCTGATACTACGTGCTATGCATATACTACCTATCACCACTCGCTGATACTACGTGACTATGCATTATACTACCTATCCACCACCTCCTGATACTGGGTGCCTATCTGATATACTAGCCTGTCTACCACTCCTGACACTAGGTGCTATCATATACTATCTGTCTACCACTCCTGATACTACGTGCTATCATATACTACCTATCCACCACTCCTGATACTAGGTGCTATCATATACTACCTATCCACCACTCCTGATACTACGTGCTATCATATACTACCTGTCCACCACTCCTGATACTAGGTGCTATCATATATTACCTGTCCATCACTCCTGACACTACGTGCTATCATATACTACCTGTCTACCATTCCTGACACTAGGTGCTATCATATACTACCTGTCCACCACTCCTGATACTACGTGCTATCATATACATGTCCATCACTCCTGATACTAGGTGCTATCATGCAGTACATATCTACCACTCCTGATACTAGGTGCTACCATGCGCATGCAGTACCTATCCTCAAATCTTGACACTAGGTGCTATCATAATCTACCTCCAGCGACAAATACACAGGTGTGTGGTATCATGTATTACCTGTCTCCTGCTCCTGACACACTGACACAGGTCTCATTCTCCTGCATATTACACGCCGGATAGTGGTAGATTCTCATCTCTGTTCTGTCAGATACCTGCAGGAATTTAAGGCAGTACAAATCAGAAGTAGTTTCAATTTCAAATACTACAATGGGAATCCCCGTTAAATCGCGCACAAACATTCACAAGTAAGCAAGCAAACAATTTTCCCACAAGACAATTAGGTGGGCATAGAGAAATATAAATTTACTGTATATTGCAGTCTGTCAGTTTATTTCCCATTAAGATTACTAAAGATTCTGTAAAAACGTGGCAATAAAACTAAAAAATAAAAACTTCCATTTGCTGCACACACCGTATCCATACACCTGCAATTAGCCAAATTAATACAGATTTCAGGTGACAAAATCACGTACAGAGAGTAATTGCACTGCAGCAAACAATATATATTGGGAGTGTTCGGGATTAAATAATTCCAAGTGTGGACTAATCAAACTATAACAATAAATATTCAAAGTATACATGATATAAAATCTGCATACAGAGTAATGGCAATGCAGCAATAAATATTCACAGTATACGCGATAAAATCCACATACAGGGTAATCGCAATGCAGCAATAAATATTCAAAGGGTGGCCCGGCCACAATCACGCACCTGAGTCACATTTCCAGCGAGAGGCTGCTCTATATCTGCTGTCGTTGCCACGAGTACGCCTCTCGCTCCCAGTGTCACAAACACAGCCATCATCGATGTTGCAATCAGCGGTCTACAGATGAGCTTCACCTGGTCCGCCAGCGTCGGAATGCTTACCGCAGTATCTGTGAAAACATCAGAGCAACTCTCTAGTATTGCTAATACAATGTGTATATATATATATATATATATATTTGTAAGATTCTTCCTATGACAAATATTGTTGTATGTGTTGTGCGCATTATAGGAGTTTAGGAGCGCTATGATAAACGCAAGCAGTGAATTTCAGCTGTAAAGCGGAACGAAGTTAACTCGGTTACTGCAGTGGGAGTGCAGACAGCTGGGTGTGTGGACATCACCCCCGTGGCCAAGTGAGGCTGATGTGTTACATATTAATGTAGTACTGAGTGGGAGTGCAGACATTTGTGGGTGTGACACCACCCCCGTGGCACAGTGAGGGTGTGTGACAATTACATGTATTACTGAGTGGGAGTGCAGGCTGTGGGTGTGACATCACCCCCGTGGCACAGTGAGGGTGTCGTGCGAAGAATGTTGTTACAATTACAATGTTATTACTGAGTGGGAGTGCATGGCATGTGGGG